CTTCCACAGTTTTTGATTTTGATTTTTTAAAACTGACCGCTGAACTCGATGCGTCAACGCACGGCTTGACCCCGATGCGAGTAGACTAACCAATAATCAGATCATAATAATCGGAAATGTGCACGGCATTGAAGTTTGAAATAGTTTTACCCCTTTGACAGTTTTGAAACGTATTTAATCACATCTTCCTTAGCTTCTGTTCTCACTCCGTGGTTTGCACGGTTCTCCAAAGAAGAGGCCGAGTGTACTTGCTTGATGCTGTTTGGTTGTCACTTCCAATTCAGCCTAAAATGGATACACCAGCGGAGTAGTAACACATATATGTGGCATCCAACAATTGACTGTCTGTCTTCATTTTGTCTGTAGATTACCTCAGGCGAGTACATCCAGATGTCAGGGCGTGCGGGCAGGAGAGGAATGGACGAGAGAGGCATCGTTATTTTCATGGTGGATGAGAAAATGAGTCCGTCTGTGGGGAAACAGCTCCTTAAGGTAACACGGTGACTTCAAAACAAAACAAAATGTCGCAGACGCACCCGGCTGCGCGCTCCCTTCACTGCGACGTTGTCGCGCAGGGCTCGGCCGACCCGCTGAACAGCGCCTTCCACCTGACGTACAACATGGTGCTCAACCTGCTGCGCGTGGAGGAGATCAACCCCGAGTACATGCTGGAGAAATCCTTCTACCAGTTCCAGCACTACCGAGCTCTGCCCGGCGTCGTCGAGAGTAAGCTCGCCGAGCGCCTACCGGTTAGAACGTACGCGAGGCGGGACTCGTTTTCTCCAAACGGCTGCCCGCCCCCCCCCCCCCCCCCCCGCCGACAACAGGAGGAGGAGTACCACGCGATCGAGATCCCCAACGAGGAGAGCGTAGTCACCTACTTCAAGATCCGCCAGCAGCTGGCCAAGCTGGGAAAGGAAATCCAGGAGTTCATCCACAAGCCCAAATACTGCTTGCCTTTCCTGCAGCCCGGGCGCCTCGTCAAGGTTACCCGCCAGCACTTCTGTCATGCTATGCGCTAATGCTAAATGCGGTCTCTAGCACTCGGGTGTTCTCACTCTCTCACACAATCTTTCTCACTCACTCACTCGTCCTCACACTGAATTTTTCAAGACACATTCACGACACGCGCGCATTCGCTGTCTTGCGGTATATTCCCTCGCACACCCATGCGTTCTTTCTCACACTTTCACTTCATCACTCTCACACACACACTCACCCCTCAGACTCACTTGCACGGACTCACTCACTCACTCTCACACACGCTTTCCTGATCCCTCTTGCACATTCTCTCACTCGCTCTCGCACAAAAACTCTATCACGTTCTTTGTTATAGTCCCTCACAGGCTTTTACTAACTCACTGACACACTGTCTTTTTCTCACGCGCTCACTCGCACTGTGTCACACTATTTTGGGGACAAACTTACTCTCTCGACGGCTCTCTCTCACAGGTGAAAAATGAAGACGCAGACTTCGGCTGGGGTGTCGTCGTCAACTTCTCCAAGAAGTCAAACGTGAAGGTGAGGCCTCCTCTTCATTTGTCATGCCCCAAAAAAAAAAAAAAAAAGCCGTCACTCACACATGTTCCCGGTGTGCGCAGGTCAGCACGGACGCCGAGCCACTCTTTGTGGCCGAGGTGCTGTTGCACTGCAGCAAAAACAGCGTCAAGGAGGCGGCCACTGAGGCGGCCAAACCTGCTCCGCCAGGCCAGACGGGAGAGATGCAGGTATGATATGAGGATTTCGACTTTTTTAAATTTTTTTACCTGTGATGTGTTAAAATGTATTAATTGAACTGTATTTTGTTTACTTACGAGAGAGAGAGGCACAGTGCTTGAGTGGTTAGCACGTTTGCCTCATTTTTTTCAAAATGGTTCCTTATCAAACTTGTGCTCCCTTCCTGTATCAATTAGTACCGCAGCATGTTTATGTAACAGTGTCCTGACCTCCATGGCCCCTGTGCTGCCCAGCAGCGGTGAAATCCATCACGCCTCCCATCTCTACGCCTTGTTATAAATGTAGAATTGATTTGGCGCAGTAAAGATTTGAATTAATCACGCCTGAATGGATTCTAGGTGGTCCCTGTGATGCTTCACTTGCTGACGTCCATCAGCTCCGTGCGTCTGTACATCCCCAAAGACTTGAGACCCTTTGACAACCGCCAGCTCATGCTCAAGTCCATCCAGGTTTCAAAACACCCCTTCGAGCTTATAAAAAAAAAAAAAAAAAAATGTTGAAATTGTTTCATCATCGTCGCATCTTTATGTTTGAAACGCAGGAAGTGCAAAAGCGTTTCCCAGATGGAATCCCTCTTCTGGACCCCGTGGACGACATGGGCATCAAGGACGCCGGGCTGAAGAAGGTGATCCAGAAGGTGGAGGCTTTCGAGCACCGAATGTACTCGCACCCGCTGCACAGCGACCCCAACTTGGAGGCCGTCTACTCGCTGTGCGAAAAGAAGGCTCTGGTAAGGCCACCTTCTCAAAATTATCTTTGCATGTCATAAAAGTCATCACGATGTTGCAAACGCAGATATTCATGAAATGAGCAAAGTTCTGATTAAAGAATAACATGACATTGGTGTGTGTGTGTGTGTTTCAGATCGCGGGGGACGTGCGCACGGCCAAGCGCGAGTTGAAGAAAGCTCGCACCGTGCTGCAGATAGATAAGCTCAAGTGCCGCAAGCGAGTGCTCCGACGCCTCGGCTTCGCCAGCCCGTCCGACGTCATCGAGGTGAAGGGGCGAGTGGCCTGTGAGATTAGCAGGTCAGAACACAGCCGGCGTTTTTAGAACTGAGGTTGACCGTGCCACCTTCAGTTTGAGGCTGTTTTCGAAGCAGTTTTTTTAAAAAATAATATACGAATAATATTCTTTGTCTAGCGCTGACGAACTGCTGCTGACGGAGATGGTGTTCAACGGCCTCTTCAACGACCTGACGGTGGAACAAGCCACCGCGCTGCTCTCCTGCTTCGTTTTCCAGGAGAATGTAAAGAAAATGTTCTTCTTCCACATTGAAACCAAAATTTCAGCCACAAATTCAACAATTCGCAGGGGTTTTTTTTGTACTGCATTCAATCCTCTGTTATTCGCTGAAAAACTTTCCTATCCGCAAAAATGGTCACGACATTGCTTTGACGTAGTCATGTGGGTTCTTAGTGCCAAAGTGAGTTGAGGAGCTTCATTGAGACAACAGTTGTTGCCATTCTGTGGCGTCTCGAGGCAATCGCTGTGTAGTATCGCGTTTTGGAGGGAAGCAGTGGCGGTTGCCAATTACTGACTCACAGGGCTCGCGAGGTCTCGTTGGCCTGCAAAACATCTCTCAAATGTTGTCAATTATTAGATTATTTATAATAAAAAAAGTAGAATTTGTCAACTAATTTCCACAAGTTTGCAAACAGAAAATACATTCGTTACATTTCTTATCCACCGTAAAAGCAACTATGGCATCAAGTAGAATGACTGTGTGTGAACTGTTGCCTCGCGTATCTTGCAGCGTCGTCATGAAAAGTCAAGTCGTGTCCTAATCATTTTTTTTCATTGGTGAATCCAGGCCAGCGAGATGCCAAAACTGACGGAGCAACTGGCCGCCCCCCTCAGACAAATGCAGGTACGATCCCGTCCCGGTAATGAGCCCGCCGCCGGGCAACGGCGCGCTCGCTGACACTTGTTTTCACGGCACGCCTCAGGAGTGCGCCAAGCGCATCGCCAAGGTGTCGGCGGACGCCAAGCTGGAGGTGGACGAGGATACCTACCTGAGCTCGTTCAAGCCTCACCTCATGGATGTGGTCTACGCGTGGGCCAACGGCGCCACCTTCGCGCAGATCTGCAAGATGACCGACGTCTTTGAAGGCAACGTTGCTTGTGCTGTCTGCATGTCTCGTTCCCAGCGGGCAGAAATACTGACAGTTGTTTGTTGTCGTTTTGTGTTGCCATTCGTGTCTGTTTTTGGTGGGCGGTTGTGGTGTGTCCTCTACAGGAAGCATCATCCGCTGCATGCGGCGTCTGGAGGAAGTGCTGCGACAAATGTGCTCGGCCGCCAAAGCCATTGGCAACACGGAGCTGGAGAACAAGTTTGCCGAAGGTAAGAAAGTGTGTTTTTTTTTTTTTTTGTGGACATTTTTAAACTGACAAATTGTTGAAAGTTTCCACAAAACTTAATCCTTTGACACTGACTTTATATATACTCTTATCTACTCCACAATGTTTTATTCAGGCAGTGGTTATCCATCCTATAATGACATAAGTTTTTTTTTTTGATTGGCAGTTGCATAATCAATGAGCTTATGACATGAAGTCCGTCCGTACACACCAGGTAATAAATATGAATCAACTCGTGTTTGTCTCCTCGCAGGAATCACAAAGATCAAGAGGGACATTGTGTTTGCTGCCAGCCTCTATTTGTAATCCCAACACTTCAGCAGCTTCATGGCTTCCTTTTTGCGTCACCCAGCGGATCCGTTTTGGGCTCCCAGCAACCTCTGATCCAACATCATTGAATTCAATTTTTGATGGTAATCAAATGACTCATATCCACATCATATTTCTTTGTTAATACATATGGCTTTATTTGTCCTGCTGTTGTTTTAGACACTTGTACATATTTTACATGTTTTTTTTTTTTTTTTTCTTTTCAATAAACGTCTGTGTTTGACATACAGATTGACACAAACATACTTTTGTGGGTTTGGTGTTTTTTTTTTTTTGTTTTTTTTCTGGGCCTTAAGTTGCCTTCCCTGATTTCTCTCAGTTTTTGGAGGGATATGCAGCAGCAGCAGCGGCGTTAGTTTAGCAGTCACGTGAAGGCATCACAGGAAAAAGTGCTGCATTCGCAGTAGTTGTTTATAACCTCGACATTGAACCTCAGTGGGAGCTTTAAGCAGATAGACTCCCAGTAAAGAAATGCACAAAGCAGGCTTACATTCACAGGTTATACACAGTAGTGGTCTCTACCGCCCCCCCCCCTCAAACCCCCCTCCCCGCTCCACTCTATTCACCTCTCCAATCCCTTTTCACCGGTGGGTGCATGCAGTACAATCTTCCCACCGGCTCAGTAGATAAAATGGCGTCCTTGGGACAGTCTTGAGCCAGCATCTGTCGCTGGAACCACATTTAAAAGACAACATTTGAATATAATAAAATAAGATGTCTGAGGCGCATCGACTCTACATGCAGGCGACTGAAATGTGTGAAGTTTTAGTTTGGACTCTCAAAGTGGTTTCCGTTAGTGGGCGTCTCCCGGAGGCCGGTGTGGGGGATGTCGGCCTCCTTGCGGGCCTCCAGGGGCTGCTTGAAAAAGTCGGACACAAAAAACACCTGCGGGGACACCAAAAGGTGGAATTTAGGTTTTGATCTTAGCTCACATTCACTTGAGAGAGTTTACATGCCGCTGTTTTGGTTAGAAATGAAAATTAAAAGTGTCTCAAACTCACCACCAGGATGGCCATGAGCGCCCCCTGCAGGAGGCCTGTGAGCACGTCGCTCCAATGGTGCTTGTAGTCGGACACACGTGACAGGCCTGTATACACGGAGGCGGCGATCAGGAAAAACTGGATGGTGGGCCTCAGCAGGCGAGCCCACTCTGCGTGCATGCGGGCCTGCAGGTACAGCTGAAATGACACACACACCACACACACACACACACACACACACACACACACGCAAAAAAAAACGGCAACAATAGTCAGCTGTGTTTTGTGGTGCAAAATGTGTCTTAAATGTGTACGTTTATAATGACTCAGACTGTGTCTAAAAAGTCTCCACGGTCCTCCTTTTTGATTGCCAAATCAGGATTAATCAGTAAAAAACGTTTTGGACTCTTTTTATGACCTACTACCAGTACAAATCAAGTGAAAAAAAAAACAATCAAGAAAAGTAAAAGTAAACTGATGGGGTTGCATAAGTGGGCACACCCTCTTTTAGTCACCAAATTCCAACTTTCATGAACCAATTTTCATTGAGGTCAGAAGATAGTTGCCAGCAATTAGCGCCGCGGATTTTCTCTGAATAAAGTTCAGATGTTCTAGTAGGCTTTTCCTTTCAATTTGTTCTTTCTAGCCAAAACCTGAAGGCTTTGCGCTAATACTGACTGGCATTTAGAACTGTTCATAATTCCCTCCAACTTTTGTGCGTGTTTTTTTTTTTTTACTTCCCCTCTCGAAAGATTTTTATTTAATTTCATTGGGTCACTTTTAATGGTGGAAAATCATTTGAGATGATGTTGGTATCATCATTTTCTATCACAAAAGCTTGTATTTGAACAGGAGTGTGCAGACTTTTTACATCCACTGTATATAAATTAATGGAACAAAATTCAAATACTGTGGTAGGTAAAGGTCCGATGAAGGCAGGAAGTTGAAGTATAATGCACGTTTTTTCATGCTTGCTATATTTACAGCACAAGAAAATCAAGTAGTTCCTGTTTTAAGATAACATCGTTTTTCATACTTATTTTAAACTCTGAAGTTGTCGACCTCTATTTGCGTATGCCGTCCATTTTTACACGTACTTGGAAGCTACGGACGATTACAAAATGACTACCGGTACTTTTTTTTTTTTTTGGTCTATGTCTACGAGCGAACATTTATCCACACAGTAAAGTACGTGTAAATACTTACCGCCAGGAACAGCATGCAGTACATAGAGAAGGACGAGTGGCCGGAATAGAAAGACAACCTGTGACAGCAAGACAAACATTCACATTAGAACACTTGCCTTTTTGCCAACCTATAATTTTGTGGAGACGAAACATAAGGACCATTTTGGAAAAGTGTGAAGGTAACCATCGAACAGGGAATACAGTGTATTGCAACGTACAGTAGTGTAGCATAGCTGCTCAGTACAATACTGTACAGTCGTAGTAGGTTTGCATTTCCCTTAGAAAGATAAACCAAAAAAAAAAAAAACCCCAGTGGAATCCACAACAACTTATAGGAACATTCTAACTACTTTTATTAAATTTCCATTTCATTTTGTCGGAACAAAATGGAGGACGGACAATTATTATTTCAGTTTGTACAGCACATTGAATGCAGGCCTCCGCCCTCCTCTCTTGTCGTTCAAAAGGCGGCGCAAGAGGAGTCGCCTTGCGGTAAAATGATCCCTCGACTGCTGCTCGTCTTCACGCCGTTTTACAATCAGCTGATGTTTTGACGCAGGAAAACCTTTTATGTCGTGCGCATGCTGCAGGTTGAGCAGCAGGAGGAGGAGGGTGGGGGAGGAAGCTTGGCTCCAGCAAACACAAACAGTCAGGCGGCCACGCCCTGGAAATGTGGAGCAGGCCCAGGAGGGATGCTTTGTGTTGCCAGATGATGGCTTTTTTTATTTTGGGGGGTGTGGGGGGGGGGGGTCGCTCCCACCTCACTATTGCGGAGGTCGATATTAAAGAGAAGGGAGCCAAAGCGGAGCTGCTTTGGAAATAGGAGCTGCACATCCTCTCGCCAGGCAGCGCTTCCTGCTGCTCAATGCTGATAACACAAACACACATACTCAAACAACCCCCTTCCGCCCTCCTCCAAAGGTCACATTTATACTTTATACTATACGTTTATACACATTTATACTAAATCCAGAGTGGCGATTTGAATTGTGTACGGCACGTTCTCAAGCTCACCTGCCCTCATTGACCATGGTGGGGTTTCCTGTGCAGGCGAAATCCTCTATGTAGACGCCCATCGAGCAGTTGCTCCCCTTAAAGTCGGGCCTGCACACGTCAAGGAAGTGCGGCCGGAGGCGGCCGATGGAGTACTTGGCGATGTCGGTGAGCGACTGGCTCATGGCGGCGCCGAACAGGAAGGTGCCCACCGCCTTGTAGACGCGCGCCACGTAGCTGCCGTACGACGACTTGGACTGCAGGCGCTTGAGGTACACGCACAGGCACTCGCCGAAGATCATCTGTCACCACGGAGCAAAAAGTGGGCACAATCAAAACCGTAAACTAGCATATCTTAAATCTGTTCGTCATTTGCAATGTGTTCATGCAAATGTAATGAAACTTCGCGAGGGTGTGGATTGTAGTTTTTCCAGCTTTGAATCTTGCAATAATGTCCTTTTTCTGTCAAACTAACTTTTTGGTCCATCGTGGCCACTTCTGTGAAGTGAACATTTTCAAATTCCTTGTTATTTACTAGATTGCATCAATCGTACGATTTTGGGTAAAAACGATTTTTTTGTTTTCTACTTGATCAATTATTTATCAATTTTTAGACACGGAGGCAACTTCAAATTTGGCATTTATGGCTTGAACATTTTTTTTTTACCTATCTTCCATTCTACACAGAAACACTTGGCTTGTGAGTTCAGACCTTTGAAAACTAGAAAGAAAAATCTCACAGGCTAAAAAAAAAAAAAAATCATGAGTAAGCTGAAAGGGTTGGAAAATTAAACAAGGCTGGAGGGTTAATTGACCGAGAGGATGTCCACTTAAAAGTGTTTGTCAGCATAATCCTTAACAGAGACAAAAAGTTGGAAGCGGCGCTAGCGACTAGCTTCGGTTCACTCTTCTCAATCTTTCAAATTGGCAATATCTTCACTGAATTGCTGTTTCCATTTCAACTACAACCCACTAGCTGTCACCTAATTCCTTTTTTTTAAGCCATTTGTGGTTATTCAAACAGTTTTGTTCTTTTCCTGCTTCAACTTCGAGCTCAAAATGCCTTGTAGCATAAAGGCGGTATTTGCTTACTAAGGTGAAACCGACGTCATTTGAATGTTAGTTCGTGAAAAGATGAGCCGTTTGCAAACATGCCATTAGCAGGGGGGGAAAAACTCACTGAAACAGACAGTGGTGCTTTAGGACAGGGTTTCTCAAACTTTTCCGGTGCGGGGACGACTAAGGGGGTAAATGTTTCCCTCAAAGTCCCATAGGAATGAACAGTTGCCTTTTTTTTTTTTTTAAAACAAAAGTTTCCATACACAATTAAAAAAAAAAAAACGAGAGAAAAATGTTCATGTTACAATCATATTCATATCTTTGTTTTTTCAGAACAAAGAATTTTTTTTTGTGACAAAAATTCAGTCATACAAAAATAGTCGTATTATTCCAAGGCAGGTGTTAAAAAAAAAAAAAAAAAAACTACATTATCGAGTTAGTTGGCCAAAAGCTAAGTGAGGATAATTTATTTTGTGACACAATTTTATGACACAACATAATAATTTAAGGCTAATTATTATGCGCACCCCAGTTTGAGAACCAGTTATTGAGGTCATAACGTAAAAAAAAAAAAAAAAAAACGTAATGAAACAGTAAAAATCAAAGATGCACTTACAGTGAGTACTGTGAGGGGAATCATGACACCTCCTAACAACTGATAGGAAATGGTGTCCTCTTTAAGCGGGTACTTGATCGACTCATCGCGACAGAAAAAGCCTCGGCGGAACGGTTTGTGTTGCGCGGTGAGTATTGCGAACGGGAGTCCAACTAGCAGAGAAGCAATGAGAAAGAGAAAAAAAACAAACAAACAAATGGGAGGTTATTAGATGAGATCTACCCATCATGCAACACCGTGGTTACATCTTCCAGGAGAAGTGCTGCAGCAGTGGCATCCTGGCCAAAAAAGCCTTAGGAAGTAGCTGATGTTAGAGGGTTAGAGTGTTCAGAGGAGGAAGTCGTTAGCTGATGGGCACACTTCCTGCAAACTCCATTCATGTCCGACAAACCATTTTTTATTTCTTTTAACGGATTGTCATACTGGTTTTTCCCGCGAGACGAAATCGGAGATATGGAACACTGTCAGGAAGCTTTGGCGGCGCTTCCAAAAAGGAACATTCCGGATATTCCATGAGATGATTCACAGCTGTGACTCATGTGAAGAAAAAGATTCCTGACAATCCATCACGAGGCTAAGTCAGAAAAAAAACAAAACACATGGGCTAATTCATGGTGTTTTCAAGGTGACTTTCGATGACAAACACGTTGTAGACACGCGTCCGATTGCTACAGCATTGGAACCAGGCGTACGAGACAGACGGAAGATGAGGGATTGCGAAAATTGTGAGTTTGCGTCACAGGTTGTGGGCCAAGTTGGTGATTCACCTGGGAACTCGAGCGTTACAAATATTACCATCCGGCACCAGTCTGTCTGTTTTTTTTTTTTTAGTCTGGCCCACATACGAAACACTCAGTCGGCCATTTTGGTTTTGAAGTGCTGCCTTCTTATAGAAATCGTGTTGTGAGTCGGGCTAATATTAATGATTCTCATCAATGATTTGTGTCAAAATTAATTTGGTATTATTAAACACCCAATTCCAATTGAAAAGATGCACATGAGGTGCGGGTATTATTTTTGTCCACTTGGAGCCGCCATCTTCACGTTGTACACTGTCGTGTCTGTGACTTTGAATGTGTGCGGCTTTGAAAAGTAAGGCGGGGTCTATTTTGTTACTTTTTGTTTCAATCAAGCGATTGAAAGTGCAGCAAATGCGTCTATCCTTGACCTTAACTGGCAGTGTCGGACTAGACTGAATTAGCTAACGATGTTTACATTAGCTTGAGTTTGCAATCACAGCCTTGCTTTGCAGTAGACGCATTTCATTTTAGCTTCTTTTTTTTTTTTGTGTACATTCTTTGCCTTTTACGCGCGAGAAACTACACAGTGAAATGCGCAGGTTGCTGGCCATTTTGGTTTGAAAGTGCTGTTATGCTAATAAAAATATAGTATTTGCAAATACATACATAGATATGTTAAGATAGTGTTAGCAAATATTAGCATCCGTCGCAGGTGTGTCCAGATGACATGAAAAGCAGCATGCGTATTCATCACGACAATATGTGAAAATTAATGAGTAGCTTTGCTGTGATAAGCAAAAGTGGGCGGCTAGTTTGGTTTGAAGGTGCTGTTTTTCGGTAATTTCCGACCTTTGGATAGTTAAGTGGACATCCTCGTCATCTAGGGCTGCTAACATATGATGCGGATCTGGATAGAGTGAAAGGCTAAGTGAGGAAAAGCCACATGCACTTGTTAGGTCCGTGGCGTCCCGGCCCTGCCTGGCACGAACGGCCCCCTACTTACGCAGCTAATGGGCAGCGAGAAGCCCACCGTGTAGAGCACGGTGGAGGTGACGGTGCTGTGGTGGAAAGGGTACTTGATGCTGTCGTCGTTACAGAAAAAGCCCCTCTGGTAGGGACGGATCTTACCCAGGTTGAAGGCCGCCAGGGGCAGGCCCCCTGTGGAGGACACACGGTCAAAGGGGAAGAAAATGTGAAATAAAAATCAACGGCTGCATCAGTCCATAGCGTTGATGACATCCCGTTTTCAGAAACAAAAGAGGAATTTATGCGACATGCCGTTGTGGTAACCAAAACTAGGAAACAAAAGGATTAGGATCTGATTCTTTGATTATTACTTCTTCTTGATAAATCACAAGTTTTTTATCACTTAATATCCCAAGTTTTTGAAAAATATATATTTTTTGGAAAATATTTTTAACCCAAATAAAATACAGAGCTTTGTCATAGTATCACCTTTTTCCATAATTCTCATTTTTTCAAAATCGTAAACATTTTTGAAAACGTTTTTTTTCTTGTAATTTTGCAGTTTATTGCCACTCCTAAGTGAAGTCTACTGTCACACACAAAAAAACAGAAACAAAGAATTGTAAAATGTGTATTTTATCACGCTGCATTACTTTACCTGCTAGCTTGATACTAGAACACGTTTTAGACAGCCCAAACTAATCTGCCGTCGATATATCGGTCGTTATAAACCTTTAAACAACTTATATTTCTTCAAACAGTTCACAGAAAGCAGAGCATGCAACATTACTCGGAGGCATATATTCTTTATCCTGTGCGAAGAACAACTATAATATTGGCTTACTGAGCAGTTGTGACAATCTTCGCCATATACGATGTACATATGTTTTATACTGCCTCCTGGTGGCCAAGGTGTGCACACCATTAGAGGCCCATTTAACGCAAGCAGGAAATCACGATGCAACAATGGTATAATGCTTACCTTTCTATTTAGTTTTGTTATTTCTATATGTTTTCGTAAAATACAATAATGTTTTAACTTGTTCCAAAAAATGTATTGCTCTTTTGGGGCTGGAACACATCAATTTACACTCACAAATTAAGGCACCACTGGATTGCCAGTTTATTGCTATAAATGTGTTTGTCCAAGGTAAGGCACATGTCAATGTGGCAAAGGGTTCGATTCAAACACCACGTGTGTTTTTACTACACACGGGGAAAGGACGAATTTTATTTTTAGGCCAAGTCAAACTTTTACAAGGCGTGTGACATAATAACAACAGAGATGATAAGCTTGTCAAATCTGCACTCCTGCTTGATAAAAGACCAGCGAGAAAGCTTCTTATGCAAGCAGGTCCAAAGTCCCAGTGGAAACGCCGCAGTGATTTCTCGCCGTCTTTGGCCCCTTTAACGCAGGCTGGCCTCAGCTCAACTCGAATGTGGAACACATTCTCCATCATGAAAAGAAAAAAAAAAAAAGAATGCAGAAGCGCATGACCCATTGCAAGACAGTCATTTCAGCTGTTGGCGTTTGATTGGACGTGGCAGCTGAAATGCCTGGGAAGTTAAGAGAGAAACAGAAGCAGGCTGTGTGTGTGTGTGTGTGTGTGTGTGTGTGTGTGTGTGTGTGTGTGTGTGTGTGTGTGTGTGTGTGTGCGCGCGTGCGTGTGGGGGGATGGGGGGGAGCAAGATGTTTGGTAGAGTTTGCGGCATGAGTCACCCACAATAAAAAGCTTTTCTTATGCAATCCATAACAACATATAAAGAAAGCATGAATCGCTATTTGGATCAATTAATCAATCATTTAAAGCCAACACAGCCCCCAATCACATCACATATTGTATATAATAAAAAATAAATAAAAATAAATCGCTGATTCATTCCACCCCATCTAGGACACAGTCTGCATCGCAACAACCATCAATAAGATGGAGAGAATTTGCTTGAAAGTATATTTTTAATTGATTATTTATTTATGTCATCACTTTGTTTTATGTTTGATCTTTTCGCACTGCACTTTTTCTCAACTGCGGTTGTTTAATTTCTCAAGTTGAATTGAGATATATAATGATGAGAAGAAGAAAGAGGAAAAAAAAATTGTGATAATTAAACCAGTAAAAAAAATCATTTTGATGAGAATATTGTTGGAATATTACGAGAAAAAAGGAATGAAGTCATATGTTGTAATATCACGGGAGTGATACCAGAAAAAAAAATATATATATATTACGGGGGGAATCGTATTACAATGAATAAAGTTGAATTTTGTAATATCACTGCAACAAAGATGGAATGTTTTGCAAACAGCCGTAATTTTACACGAATAAGGTCATGTCATTATTCATTCATCACAAGAATTTTACATTATTCTTGTAATATTACGTCAAATTTTCTCTGAATATCAATTTATTCTTGTAAAATTACACTCTTACTGCACTCCTCTTCACATAGTGACTTCCCTCGTAATATTATGACTTGAATGGTATAAAATTGTGGCGCTTTCTTAAAATACGTTGTTTCTCTTAGAATAATATTTCAATCTCATAAAATTACACCTTTTGACTTTTAATATTTCGGTTTCTACTGTGATATAGTGGGGAAAGAATAGTCGTCCGTCTATTGACCTTTTCCTCGTATTATGACTTTATTGGCGTGAACGTGCTTTGTCTCTTGTAATAGTACATATTTTTTAAAATTTAGAAAGTTTGGAAACTTTAGTTTCATGAAAATATTGGGTATTTTTTTTCTTGTGCTATAGCAATTCCAATTGTATATAGTGACTTGTATATAGTGACTTAGCGAGTGTAAAATTGTGTGGTGTTGCCGTTGATTGATGTCAATTTAAAACAACTCTGGCATGAAATGTTAAACCCCAAAACGTCCGTAGGAGTGACGCTGCAGTTTGCGTTCCCTTTACATCCAACGCAAACCAGCCTGCGACTCCGGGCTTGTCCCATCCGATTAAATCGAGACACGAATCCGCTTCGGTGGAGCGAGAGAGGCATGTACACATACCTAAAACAAGGCAGACGACGTCGAGAACCACGAAGGGGATTCCTCTTGTCTCGAACATGTTGACTCCTGCCCGGGTTTCTCTCCCTCTCTCGTGTGGGTCGTTCACGGCGGGTAATAAAAGTGGGATGCTCCTCCTCGTCCGCCGAGAAAATTAATTAGGGACGGTTTATGTTTAGAGTACTAAAAAAATAAAAACGAGAAGCAAAAACCACCGAGGGGGGTTAAAGCTAGCTCGTTACACAAAGTGAATTACGACGACGACAACAATGTTCCTTCTCACACGCCCGCCTTCCTCTCATCATGACCGAACCGAAAAGCGAGGCGTGGACTCCTTCGGAAATGAATCACGCTAACTTCCAAGGGAAACGCCGAGGAGCGAGGTGGACACCTGCATAGGGGTGCCCGCCTGGCTTTGGGGTTGACGGGTGGGGGGAGACGGTCGACCGGCCTGAGCTCCGGAGGCGGGCTCCAGACGGCGTTGCGTTAAATAAAGTGGGACGTCAGAGTGTTCATCGAAATCGTGAACACAGCTTGTTGTGTTTTATTTAAATCAAATGTAAACCAGCCTACGGTGTCAATTTGCACTCATGTTAATTCCGTGTCTGTTTGAAGTCTAGTACTGGAGGGGTGTACAATATGCAAATGCTGGAACTGTGAAACTCGTACTGGAGTGGGTGTGTACTATGCAAATGGCGGAACTATGTACTTTCCAACGTTTATCTCTCTTTGAATTTGACAGTAATTTAAGTCAGTTCTGCGCAGTTGTAGAATCATGTCGACATCTTGTGTTGAAGAGGGAGCGTTACAATTGCCACTGTCAAAGACACGTTGGTCGCTTTCTCGCAGTTTCCAATCAGAGATAGAAAAAGCTTATAATATGATATAAAAGTATATGTATACATAACATGATTTGAGGAAAGTCATGGAATTATTTGGAAAAAGTCATTTTACGTGACTAAAGTCATACCATTAAAAAGAAACAAAGCCAATGATAATAAATGAACAGATTCTGTATGTATTTATTAAAGTTCAGTAATTCACATATACAAAAACTTTAAACATCCATTGATAGTTCCAAGAATAACAGTTTAAAAAATGTGAAAATTGTTCACATCTTTGGTCAAGTATTGCAATTGCATCACAGGGATTGCAGCTTGACGATTGGGCACTTTATTTATGCCCAACTTAATGAATGGAAGAATAAATATGACATGAAAGTAAAGTACAAGTGCATAGAAAAAGACAAAAAGACGCGTCAAATATTATATTTCATGTTGTCAGACAAAGTCACCGTTAGAAACATACAGGTTGAACAGCCTGATTGTCATTTTGAGCTTGACACCTCCCCACCCCCCAAAAAATTATAAAGTGTTACATTAAATTTGAATAAAGAAAATTTTGGACCACCAAAAGGCTAATTCAGGTACTTATCAACAGTTGTTTTAAGACATACTAGATGGAAAATTGACTTCTGCATAATATGATTGTCTTATACTGCCCCTTTAAAGGCCAAGGTGCGCACACCAGAAGGAGCAACAGAACAATGGGCACCGAAGCATGGAATCATAATACATAAACTTGGGGAAGATCCAGTGCCACTATCAAGCCGCAGCTCAAACACCCACACACTCTTAAACTCTTAAGGGTGTGAAGCTCCTGCTGCCACATCAAAGCCAAAAGGTAAGCAGAGCTGCAATGAATGTTGCTGCATGCATAGAATAGGATATGCTTCTCATAACCACCACCTGTTGCATGTTTTTAAAGACACCTGAGAACTGCTTGAAATTATAATTTTTTAAAAAATAACAATTCTCCTTTAAGTCAGGGTTCCCCAAATATTTTCAGCTCATGACTCCAATTTTGATTCTTTCACGTAATGCAAAAATACTAAAATACATCAGGTCCACGCATCATATGGATATGTCCTGTATATAAACCAGTTATGACTTTATATACAAATATGATCAATAAAATAGCTTAATGCTGAGCCTCAGTTTGGGCAGCGTTGTTTGAGTCAACGTCGATCTATTCGCAAATTATACAGATAATTACAATAGAACATGTAACAGCGAGTTTTCATCCTTGAATGTTAAACTGTTGCTGCGGTTGAGTAAAAGGAAAACTGTAATAATTGTACACTATTTACAACATATTACACATAAATACAGGTTGGGATGATTACAGTATATGATTATATATAACTTATTGCCAAGTTATATACACGAAAGAAAGAAATGTCTTTTAAACTTTTAATGCCTGAAGGTTGCGACACAATCATAAAAAAAATTAAAAATAGAATTAAAAAATATAAAAGCCAAATAAAAACGTTTTTTACATCGTTGAAATAAATATTTTTTTAAAAACTGCTATTCACTTCCCCTCCTGTAGGCGTCTCTGTTTCCCCACAAATGAACAGAAACGTCGATTGTCCAGTCTTGCGCTATTTCGACTTCAGGTCTTTTTGGCGTTCTGTAGTAGTTGCTGCGTCTTCTGCTTGCGTAGGTGCGCGTCAATGTCTTTGCGGAAGAAGAGCATGCCCAGCTGGCCGTGCGACGCCTCGTTCATGGCCTTGGATTGCATGCACATGCGGTACTGTTCGGGCGCCAGCTCGTCGGCGCAGTGCTTCTCATGCCACAGGTGGAAGAGGCCACGCGACGGAGCCCGCACCACCAGCAGGTTGCTGCGCAGGTACTTGCGATACAGGTGCACGTCCTCGCCACCCCAGCCCTTGATGTCGATGTCGAAACCTCCTGCCGGGAAGACAAAAATGCGTTCATTCATAGTTGGGGACAGTCTAAAAAAAAACGGTCAATGTAAAAAAGCTTAATGTTGGTGAATGTCAGGAGAACTGACCGTTCGCTATCAAAATTAACATCTCTACTCATGCCCACTTCAACCTTTGAAAAAAAATCAAAGCAGTCGCGATAGTATTTTGGATTTCTCCCATAGACGTACACTACAGAGCAGGGGTGTCAAACTCATTTTTGTCGCAGCCCACATTGTAGTTACCTTTTCCCTTGGAGGGCCGTAATGACTGAAACCATATAAAGAAGTCAAGAATAATGCTTTACTCAACTATTTAATTGACTAATGAGGGGTTTGGTAACAAGAAAATGCTTGCAATATCTCATGTCAAAATGCTTATATTTTGTGCGGCAAAACAAAGTAAGGGTTTCACCGCAGCCTGACTCCATTCATGAGGCTGAATGGATGCAAATTGATCTTGACGCGAAGCTATTGCATTATGCTAACGTAGGCGGTCGACATTGCGATGCAGCGTCATGAAATAAAACCTCACGTGTCCGGTCACCGAACAACAGACGTTCAGAATGTTCGTTCGCACGGCATGAACACCGAATCTGCACACTTGCCAGGAAGTCTTTGTTTTTACCAGAGGTGTCAGACATCCCGAAGGAGACAGTTGCCTGCGGACCCTTTGATCATTACCTATGTTGATGAAGTCTGAGCGGTACTGGCAGGTCATACCAAATCCGAAATCTCTCCAGAAGCCCGTGTCTTTCTTCATCACCTGAGAAGACAGGGAGTAAGCTATAAAGACCACAGGGGAGATACCTTTAAGGCCTCCATACTGCACGATAGATTAGCGTGACTCAAGCATATTCCCCCGCGGCTTAAAAGGGACTTTTTTTTTTTTTTTTAACTTTATGGGTAGGTTTTACCAGCTGTTGCTCTACTGGCGGGATGTGCTCGGGACTGCCGTAAATCAGTTTGGGGTTGTACTGGCTGAATAACACCGGGTAGAAAACCTTTTTACCTGCAAAGGGAGAAATGGAGAGTTAAAGCGCGACACATGAAGACAGTTAGAAAGCAAATTTCAAATCACAAAGGTTTACGATTTACCAAAGTAGTTCACAGATAAATATGTAGCTCTTAGACAAACGTGAACATAGAACTCACCGGACTGAGTGTTGAGTCTGCAAGATCCGAGGAAGTCGGCAGTGAAGTAGATGTCCACATCGCAGAAGAAGAGCAGCACGTTGCCCCACTTCCACGCTCGAGCCCCGACGTCCAGACCCCGACCTCGGGAGAACTCCTCATCCAGCTGCAGGAGAGTGTAGTTTTTGAAGTTGACCTCCCTGCAGGGGGTGATCGGAAACGAGTGAGCGGTTTAGAGAGGTTCTGATGGAAACATCAGCCTTCGTCATTGACACGGTTTTGGATTCTCCTTGGCAGCTATCTCAATTATGTTTAGGCTTCGTCGGAATTCACTCACCGGTCACTCTGTACTGGACGAGTGTTCACATTGGATATTTTTTACTGTAGTTATTATTTGAAGGGCTACTTTTACCCAAGTCACATGCATTCGAAACTAACCGTAATTTTAAGTACCGTTTTAGCGAGGAGTTTGAATAACAGCGCTAGGTCAAAACTCAAAAAGAGTTCCCACAGTTGACACTGCAGCAGACGGGAATCTCACACGAGGCAACGATGGCGAAATCGCTCAAATCGCTGGGGAAAGCGTCAACAGCTGCGACAGCTGTGATGTAGCCTCGGGGGCCAAATCATTGATGCGGTGAGTGACTAATGCTGAGCTCACACACGAGAGAATGAGAGACGGACCCCCCACTTTTGTTGGGCCTCTGGTGAAACCGTGGAAATGGGTTCTAGGAACTGCGCTGCCAATGGCCATAAAAAGACAAAAATCCAATGTCGTCTTCTTCAGTCTGTCAGAAACCTTCAATCCTTAATCTGAAATCTCAACGCTGACCCGAAGCCCAATTTGAGATCTTAACCCCGATTTGAAACCCTAACTCAGTCTTGAAAGCCAAACTTGGAGTATTACTTGGAACCCTTATTTGAAAATCTAGCATGCTCTTCTTGAGACCCTAATTTCAAACACTCAACGTAATTTGAATCCCTATTTTGAAACCTTACCCACTCAAAAAAAATCTGGCTCAAAATTTTAACCTTGTCTTGAAACCATACGCTGAAATCCTGTTTGTGTTGTCGTTGTGTGTTCTGGCATGTGCCTACTTGCAGCTGGCCAGGGGCACCTCTCAGTCACGGCGCATATTTGGGATAGCGGAGTAGCTGGCACCTGTGGACGAATCCTTTCATTGTCCCAAACAAAGACGGAAATTCAGATTGGTGTGACTGATGGGCCCAAGCTGTCAGTCAAAGAAGTTTGTTATTCATTTTGGGAGCTTTGCGTGATCCCTCTGCTTCCTCGCAAGTCTTTGGAGAGCCTCGCAAGCCAATTCAACTTGAATGAAAAGACAGCATAATAATAATAAAAAGCTTGCGTGAAGATGATCCTTTCCCAGCTGTTTCTTCCATTTCCGACCCCAACTTGAAACTCTTTACCACTTTCAACCACCAACCCTATCTCGACGCCCAATTTCAAACCTTAATTTGAAACCTGACTTTGAAACCCGGTAGATAGTAGCATTACTTTATTTCAGTTCCAGGCAGTTAAAAAAATGTAAAAAACAAAAATGTGTACAGTACTTTAATCAAATTCAATGTGTGCAGTCTGCATCTTCGCTTAACTTCTGTTTTCATTCATTTCCCCTTACAAGACTCTAAAATCATAAATCCCTTCCTCCACCAGTCTCTGGAACATCCCTAGTCGCTTCGCTTTCATTTCCATCCTCTCCCTGGCAAGGAGACCAAGAAGAGACGCTTGGTGGCAGCGGACTTGAGGCCAAACATTTAAACCTATGAGGGATGCTGAACCACTTGCATCACCATAGCAACCAAAAACCCCTCCATTCAGTTAGAATGCGATCGCTTGATAGAGAGCTAGATAGCTACCTAGTAGTAAGACAGCTTGAACAGAGCTAAATAGCTAGCTAAATAGCTAGCTACATACGTATATAGCTAAATAGCTAGCTATGTAGGTAGATAGCTAAATAGTTAAATAATTTCCCAACGCACCCTAGACAGTGACATAGCTAGCTAGCTAGCTATCGATCGATACGTAGATAAAATATGATAGATAGAATGCTGATTTCTTGACTCACCTGGACGTGTTCTCTAGAATGCGATGCACCTCGCTCACCTGCTCCTTCCCGAAATAGACCACCGTGAGGTGGACGCGGCCGTCCTGGCGCACGCAGACGTCCCTGGACAGGCGCGCATAAAGACACAGACACGCACACACAAATGTTCTTATTGAGAAAGCAAAATGAGCAAAAATGAAAAATCTGAACTGTAATGCGCTAACCAACAGGTCGCCTCTGTAGAATATGTGATTAAAAAAAAAAAAATGGAAACCTAACCATGGCTGAAAATCCTCATGTGAAACTCTAAACCCTGACTCGAAATCGCAATTTAAAACCTGAATTTTAGACAATACTCTCAAACCATAGCTTGGAATTGAATCCCTAAATTGAAACTCTGTCATTTTTGTTAAAAACCTCATTTTGAGAACCGTAACCCTGTCAAACCCACAGTAAAAAAACGAACAAACAAAAAAAAACCTTAAAGTTCAAATGAGAAAAAAAAAACTTATTTCTCAAATTAATTGAATATGATTAAATTACATAAAAAAGACAAACATTTTTATTCATCACCCTGAAGAGAATCATACGCAACGTGCTATACAAATACCATTCAATAAAACTGTAATAATTATACAGTGGTTAATTTATTGTTTAGAAAATAAAATAGTTCACTGTTTAATTGATGGTAATAAATAAATAAATAGATAAAGGCTTTTTATTGGCTTCTGTTGCTTTCTGGCACCAAACCGTTGAAAGCACCAAACTGTCGGGACAGTGCGGAAAATGTTGTTTTAAGTTTTAATGAAAATGTTAAATCACTGCAGGAAATTGTTTAAAATAAAAATGACAGGAAGCTATTCAACTGTGTCCTCATCAACATACTTTCGCAGTACAAATAAGCACATGTGATTGTGCTTATCAAAGCAAGCAAATTGTCACAAATTCCAATCGGATTAGCTCAAATAGGCTTTGAAAAATGTCATGAATGATACGTTTGTTCAGGCCGCGACAGATGCTTTTTATTTATTTATTTTTTTGTGAGTGACTCCCATCGAAACGTTGCCGACGTGATTGGAAGACAAATTGATTTTCGGCAGAGGAGATAGGCTGCGGAAAAAAAAACCCTTCAATTATCTCTGCTAAATTCATATCTTAGCCGTGCGATTATTTGCTTTCATGAACACACACACACACACACACACACACACACACACACACACACACACGTGTTCAAAATGAATGAGGCTAATTTGTTGGCTCAGTGGTTCTTTCCAGCCAGTCAGTGCCGTGCTGTGCCGCTGTAGATCAACTTTTGTGCCTCCCAGGAGGCATTTAAACAGGCTTGAACAGTGCCACTAAGCAGGATTTTCCAGGAAAAAAAAAATAGTGATGAGCAACAACACCCGTGGCCATAAATCAGACACTTTCCAGGAGAGAAGGACATAACGGTGGGTTTTAATCCTGACAGGCCACCAAACAGAATTAAGTATCTCATCTTGATGACTTTTGGAGGAATATAATAAGTGCCCCACACATGAAAAAAACAATCTGCGATGCAGAGGGGCACAAACGATTACTCACGATATAGCTGGAGAACACTATGCTAAAATGTTAGCGTTTAAATTAGCATTGGAGTTTAGCATATTAGCCCAGAGGCGCTCATTAGCGAATTAATCCCTTCTGTTGTCTGCCATCTTTGAATCTGTCCCAGTTTATGTTGGGATTTTATGCCTAGCAGCAACAAAATAAATAAGATGCTATGTTAAATTAATTCCCTTGTTGGTTTAATCCCTCTTTAAAATGGGGGGAAAAAATATGAATATGGATTCGGGCACTCACCTGAAGTTGTGCATGAATTGTTTGAACTTGTCGGTTCGTCGGGACAGCGGCACCACGATGTTGATGAGCACGTCGGCCGTGTCCACCCGCTCGCTCTTCACCTTCATCAGCGGTCCGAAGGGCCGGAAGAGGACCAGGCGGCGGAATTCCCGACTGGAATCGCCGCGGAAGGTCAGCTCGTACACTGTCCCTTTGTCCTTCTCTGTGCGCGTGATGCCTGATGTGCGCGGGGAAAGCAAACACACAATTGACACAGTGAATTGAAAAAATATGAATGACCTCAGCATTTCTATTCACTGAAACGTTTTCAGTATATCCATGCTAACACGAAACAAACGCCACCCCAACACATGCTAGGCTATTTGGCACGCATGCTAATTCTGTCTTGTTTTGTGGGCCTTACGTCAGCTTGTTTTGAAACAACTCGTAAATTACCGCACTTGACTTGCAAATTAAAGCCGAGGTCAACACTGGGGGGGTCGAAGAAATAAACCAAACAGGAACAGCGACCACGGATGAAGTAAAAGAGCCGGGAAGAAAAGACGCTAATGAACCGGAACGCGCTCTTCAGAGCTAAGATGCAGTCTGATAACCACCCAAAACTCATTGGCTTCCTGCAACGGAGGGCTTAATTTCCCCGCAGGGATGTTGCGAAAAGCTTTGATTTCTTTGCAAATACTCCACGTTTCTTAACCAGATGGCGATCTCCACATGTCATTGATTTCTGTGAACTGGCAAGTCTTGACATTTTTTGGTGATGAAGGACTAGATAAATAAACTCGAGTACCTTTCCCCACTCTGACTTAGTGCTCAATACCTGTCACACCAGTATTCCGAAATCAAAAGAAAGGCGGATAAATGTTGCTATTACGGCTCCGAAAAGCTAATTTAGCTAAATCTGTGAAAGGGGCTTTTGACAGCGACAAATGCTTTCGACACCTCTCTTACACAGATAAAATTTGGCAGGCCAACTTGCCCCCGCCCC